TAATAGAGTTTTGTGTTTATTTATTTTAGATATTTTTATTTACAAAAATAATCTACTATTATATTTCATTCTATTCTTTATATCTATTCCTTTCTATCATATATCTAAATCTACTATTAGTCCATTTATATAGTTTTTAACATCCTTCGGACATCAAGAGCATGCATTCAGATGCCCGAATCGCTCATGATATGGACCGTACTGAAAACCAGTGCTATCACTGAGACCGGTCCTTTTTGTAGTTTCATGCTGCAAGTACTGGGTTTTGTTTGAGGGTATTTCCGTAAATTTATGATATTCGTAAATACTTCGTTTTATTTATCTTTTTGCCCAATATTATTTTACTACATTTTGCGCTGCGTGCTTAAACTTAAATTAGTCTTTCTAATTCATAAAATAAATGGTCATTGTTTATCCTCATTCTAAATGACGCCAATTAAATAGATACTACCCAGGGTAGGGTCGATTCGCTAATTTAGACTAAAACAAAAAGAAACAAGCTACAAAAGTAATAACATTCAAGATAAAGCTTTGCATTTTGTCACTGAAACAAGGCACGGACGCCGTCGTTCAAAGTTTGAAATACAGTGACAAAATAGACTGGAGGTAATGGACGCAATCAGCGTAATAATTGACCGCCGTGCGCCACCCGGAGACACTGCGGTCGCTTGATTGCACGGAACGGTTAATTGTTTGTGGCGGATAGTTGATGGTGCCTCAATTTAAATTCACTTTGATAGTCACATTTTTTATAAAATAACGGTGACTAACGAGCACAGTCTACTTGATGGTAAAAGGAATTTTGTCGTGCATCTACCAACGGAATCAAAATATAATTCTGTTGTCACACACGAGGACTAAGATAACTTGTATCTGACATATACTTACTTATAATGTTTCTTTTTCGTTAATAATGTATTAGAAAATTGTTATTATCGGTAAATAAAGTGCTCACCCGTACATCTATATTTCTACGTACTTATGAAAATATATGAATTTTCTTACTATTGTTGTTCCATATAAATAAAATTTGTAATGATTACATCCGCAGTAAAGCCAGTGTAACCGACAAAATCTAACGGATCAGTAAGCTGAAGTGGCAATTAATCGATCAGATAGCTCAAAGAACCGACATCCAATGGAAAATAAATGCTCTCAAGCCACAGCGTCATATCCCTAAGTAGAGTTTACTCCTCCACTAGATTGAGTGAGACCAGGTAAGAGATACAGGAAGTCAAAAAATGCACATCGATGGTTGTAACGATGATAAATGATGAAGAGTCACACTGGTGTTCTGGATTCATTTACTAGGTGTACACAACTTTGAAAGGGAGAGAGATGTTTCTCAAAATTAGGGACACATCATTCTTCACACATATCTTAGCTAAAAATTTTTGAAAATAGGACTAACATGACATGTTATGCATGTTTGATCTGTATTTCAAATCTTAATTACATAAGGCCACAGTAGCATCCACTTACCATCAGATGAACTGTGCGCTCGTTAATCACCTTTATTCTATAAAAATTTCGAATAAAGAATTAATATCAAAATTTTGAGGGAAGCTAACATCAACGATGCACAAAGTGACACCAGCGTAACCTTTAATAACTCTTTGTCATAGAGCTAGTTTCACAATACGCTGTTTGTTAGTTTTAACGTCCAATTTAATAGATAACAGCTCGTTAGGCGTAGTGAGTGTTTCACCACGTACTAACGAATGGTTAATTCTCTTAACAAGGCGTTAAACTTAATCACTGCTCCAAAGGTCCGTTAATGCTTTTAACGGCTGTCAAATTGGTTGTCAGTTGGTCAAATAAAATGGAAGCGGCGTATAATTTTATTTTTGAACACGAAAATGATGATATTTTAGAAAATTTAGAACGTTTAGATAATATTGTTCGACGTCCTAAAGTATATAAAGAGCGACGTGATTATTTTGAAGAATATGACGATATAGATTTTACTACAAGGTTTCGTTTGACGAAAGGATCTTGTATGGATGTTTTGCATACGATTGAAGATAAACTTGAATATCCATCAAATCGGTGAGTAACTACTTTAACATTACCTTATTTCGTGAATTGTACCTATTAAAAATATGCTTGTTTTGTTGTCTAGAACAACTTCTTATGTAAGGTGTTTATTATTAGGTATTAAAATGTTGGGATGCTAATTATAATATTATTTAAAAGCTCAAACATTGTTTCCCCCTAGTAATAAGATCACTCCATCATTTCTACCGTGAATTTTACACAAACCTTCTAAAAGAAGAAAAATTTGTATGATGGGCATGGTTGAAGCTAACCTAAAATTTTATTTGCTTACAGAAACAAGTCGATTTCGCCAATAAGCCAACTTATTTTAACTTTGAGATATTATGCTACAGGTTCACAACAAATAACTATGGGTGATTACTGTGGAATGAGCAAGTCCACTTCTCACAGAATTATACATAGAGTTACTGCGGCTATAGCGTCACTCAGTCGCCAGTTTATAAAATTTCCCGTCTCAGAAGAAGAATTAAAAAAAAGCACAATTACAATTTTATAACATAGCACGTTTTCCTAAGGCACTGGGTGCTCTTGATTGTACACATATACGCATTCATTCTCCTGATAGGGAAAATGGAGAACATTTTAGGAATAGGGAAGGATACATGTATATATATGTGCAAGCAATAGGAAATGCTAACTTAGAAATTTTAGATTTGGTGGCGAGATGGCCAGGAAGTAGCCAAGATCAAACTACTTGGAACGGATCCTACAGAAGCACTATATTTGAAAGTGGTCGATACCGTGATGCCATTCTCTTAGCAGACAGTGGCTATATGAACCGACCATACATTATGATGCCACTGCAGAATCCAATAACCCCAGAGGAGAGATTGTACAATGAATCTCAAATAAGAAGCAGGAACTCCATTGAACGCCTGTTTGGAGTATGGAAACGTCGATTCCCAGTACTTGCATTAGGTATACAAGTATAGTTAAAAAATTGCCTTCCTATAATTGTTGCCACGGCTGTGTTGCACAACATCTTAATAAAAGCAAATGATTTGCCATCTGATGATCCGGAAATAAAACTACCGGCTCCTTGGGAGATTTAATAGAACAAAGGCATATTAGAGAGCACAGATATACTGATAACATAAACAGAGACATAAATCCCGTGCGCAGAAGTCTTATTAATAATTACTTCAGAAGTTTGCATTTACAATCATTATATAGTGTAACCTCCCTTTTATTTCTTATTTACATTATTAACATTTTTTGCCAAAGATAAATGTAATTCTAACAGTTCCGTTTTAATTCTCTCTTGTTTACCACTCCATTACGCGCGCCCCTGTTTGGACGCGAGTGCTCGCGCGCTCTACATATGTAGAACTATTTTGTGTAAAGATTTTACAGGAACAATAAACAAATATAAAAATACTTCAATATCATATGAAAACAAACTTTAATAAGAAACTAAAATAGACGAAACATAACTGTTACCATTTATTAGGCACTTAATATCAGACTTCTTGTGAATTTTGAGAAAATCCATTATTTTCTGGAATCAAACCTTCTCAGTCTCCTTTTTTTACTCGCACATATCTTCCACACGGTCTTTATCATTTTGACAAGAGTCAAGGCATTGAAGAATTTAATGTTGAGGACGAATCCACTATTTACAGGTTTCACATTGTTTTCTAGTGGACTTATTGCGCGCTCTGCCACAAAAGGAACATTTCCCGACTCGACCAGTGTTGGGGAGTTGTGCTGGGCATGGTTGTAATTCCGATGGCTCTTTCATGCCCAAAAGCATTTTCCCTTTCATTTTCAATGATTTTGGAATACTTTCAATATTTATTCTGCGTTGTATGCATGGCGCGACTAGCTCAAAACCAAGTTCATATAAAAAATCCTTCCTGGCCTTATTTCTGTAGTTGTTTATTGTATGTACAATATAACCGTTTATAGCACTTATATTCATTAAATTGAAAAAAAAATGGTAAGTGAGATGTCATAAATACTACAAATAATGTCCACGCCATATTTGGTATTGTAAAAAGTTATTTCCGGCTTACGTTTCTCTGTTGTTTGTAAATCGATATGATCATCATAGTGCATAGGTAAGTAAATAAGCACCACTTTCTTTGATTTTGGCATGTAAGATACTAAAGTACCTTGTTTTTGAAAGCCAAAAATTGAACTCGTTTCGCTTCTGTTTCTTGTGATTTTGAATTCTTTGGGAATTTGTGGTTTATTTATTTCACAGTGCCTACGACAGTAATTTTGCTATCTAAGAGTTCTACTAAGCATTGAGGTATATTCATGAATCAATTGTGCATTGTGACGTTATAACCTAAACCATCCAATGTAGTAAGCATTCGTTGCACAATGTCCACAACTTTATTTGTTTGTGCATAAGGACCATCTGGCTGAGCACCTGCGTATATTTCCATATGGTAGGCGTAAAATACCTTTGTATCCGTTAGTAAAAATATATGTACCCCATACTTTGCTGGTTGCTTCATCAGTAATAACTTCTGCCAACCATCTCAAAATATGTGCCATCATTGTGCGAAATATAGTTATTTCGGTTAAAAATAATATTGTCAAACAAAAAAATTCATAATAACAATATTTATACTTAATATAAACACGTACATAAAATAAAAACGATAGGTAAACTTCCGAAAAAATGTTTCGCGAGTGCTCGCGCGCTCTACTATTGTAGAATTTTAGTTTTGGTGCGAAATTTCTAACAAGTGCGATCGCGCAGTTTGCCGAAAGGGTTACTAATTGTGATCACCAGCTAGTAATAGAGGAATACTATGAGTGTGTGCGTTAGACACCCACAATTAATGTTAAAATCCCACAAAATGCATGCCTTTTCTACAATAGTAGAACGCGCGACTAATGGAGTGTTAAGTTGCTCATCGAGCAATAAATTTTTTTCTCAGCCTCAATTTATGCATTTTTTTTTCAAAATTTCGACTAATTTTAACTTGCTAGTCAGTAAACTGTCGGCTATTGAAGCCCTTGGTCTTCTCCTGTGAAGCCATGTTGGGCTCCCCTTTTTTTGTAATTAGTGCATCTGACATTTTGGTTTTAAGTGCAGCTGGAGACCAACCATGCCAAATATTATCCTTATCCTAAAACAAAAAGTAGGTTTATTAATATATCCCATCATCCATCCATGATATCTGTAGTCTAGGCTATCTTCCATGGGTGCGGTGAAAAAGTGATGAATATTTGTAATGAGATAGGTACCTGAACTTCACGACGACTTGAGCCATCAAATGTTACCTTATTTAACTCCCCTGATTCAGCCTGATAGCTATTCAGTCCCGAGGAACCAACTTGCTCAATCTGAAAATAATATATATATATTAGAAATAAACACTATCCGTATTAAATTTTTATATATCATAAAACAAAGTCTGTTTGGGCTAATCTGAAAATCTACTCTAAATTTGTTTCAGTTGTTATAATTAAGTTGGTAGTTAAACTCATCCATGAAAATATGCTATAAGTGTTATAATATATATATATATATATATATATATATATATATATATATATATATATATATATATATATATATATATATATATATAGTATATATTACAAGTAATTTATTATAGAACATTTACATGGATTTTATGCACATGTTCTGTGTTAAAATATACACTATTATACGTTAATTAAAGGCCATAGAGAACTGGCTAGTATGTTTATAATTACCACAGTTGAACAGCCAGGTACTGCATCTAATAATACAATGGTCGGTAATATTTCTGCTGAATCTTCCTTCACTTTATTAGATGCTGTGACATACTCTGAAATTGACCATCGCTATCAAATTCGTTTGCAAGACCATCCAATGTTGGGCCAAGTAATATTTCTACTTGCTCTTGTAAAGGCCCTGGTCGTAGATGATTGGGCCTGCCTCCACCTAGAAATAGCAAAGTATAGATTATTAAACAGTGTAAACACTAAAAAGGAGCGTAAGTAGTTACTAGGCATCACTACAATCATTTCTGTTCGCAGACTAGGAGGAAACCACAGAATGAATTTTGGTGAGAGTTTACAGTCAAGAATGGTTAGGTATGCGAAATAAAGGTAATAAATTATTACTGCGCTAGAATTTTTGAAAGTATAACATGTTACTAAGTTACAAATAGATCATAACTGTTAAGAAAATCTCCTTCTTTGTGGCAGCTTTGTCTTTCCTTGTCGTTCTTTTGAGGTTATCCCAACACGTTCTAAGTTGGTCCGTATTTCGGACATTGAAACTGCTCAGGGAATTGAATTCTTCCGTGAGCACCTTCCAACCCTCATTTTTATGAGCAATCGTCACAGCATCTGTTTTTTTTTGTTTTCTACGACATCTTTATATTTTAGGATAAGTTCTATTAAAATTCCTTTTTCACTTGCGCAGAAATTAGGGCCGCGACTTTTTTCGACATATTACAACACAAATCAGTAAAACTTACTAATTGAAAGAATTATAAATCACCACAGAACAAAATTCAGGTATATATAATGTACTCTGTGAAAATCTACAAGCGCGAAACCGAAAACATATGACGTTTTAGACGACCAACATAGAATTACACTGTCTACAGAACATTTTGTATGGGCACCATGACATTTTGATTTGCATTCATAATAACGAGAGTGAAATGCGAGAGAATGACAAGTCAAACTTGTCGTTTTTGTTCACTCGATCATAGATAATATCTACTTGATGTTTGATTTAGCAACGCCTTGTTATGATGCCTCTATAGAACGTAAACCTTTTTGACGTCGACGTCAATTTTAACAGAACATTTGTTAATGGCTAATTAAGAATAGTTTGGTGAAATCGGGTCTTAATAATTGAAACTGTCCCTAGGCCCCGTCCCCAATAATGATAAATTGTAAGGTATCAAAGTATGGTGGTTATTATATTAGCGTTCGAAGATACCTAAGAACGATACATCATAATCAAATTTTAAAAAAAATGAATTCTCTTCGGAAAATTATATTATTCTCTTAAGTTTTTTTACCCGTGGTGGACAATGAGCTCGTATGCTCATTTTATTAAAAATAATATAACGAAGTTAGTAATGAATTACTATTTAAAACAAAACACACAGACAGTATAATATATTATAACATTTAAATATCGATTTCAAAATCTTCTATAAAAAACTGAACGATGGCAGAAGATAATATTTTATGCTTGAATAACTTTTACAACGTCGTGTAAATAGAGACCCAAGTGGCATGAATATTTATAGTACATACCTACCTAACGACTCAAGAATAATATAATTATGGGTGTAATAGCTGAAACTGAAAATGTACGCTCAAGTAGGTTCATTTTTGTGCATTTTGATTTAGTTTAAATAAATTTTAGTAACGAGATATTTTATTTATGATTCCGTTATGTCTCTTGCCGTCTGTTTTTTTGTTAATCAGAGGTAAAAGCATAAAATGACTCAGAAGTATTTTTGTAATACATATTGAATTAAAATTATTCCTTTCTATTAATTTAATTTTTAGATTCACTCTTGTGGTAAGAAAATATTTCATTTCATACCATCTCATTTCACGGGGCTCGTAAGGGTCAATGGGTAACTACAAAATGATTTCATTGCAAATACTTGCAAGAACAGAATCTCACGAGATTTTTTAAACGTTAAATGCACACTAGAATTTTCTCCTGTATCGTGGAGACAGTTTACAATACATAAATAGCACAGGAACAAACATCACGACCCGAAAAAATAATTTTTAGGTCATACAAGTGATTGTTCCGTACAGAATTCGAACCCATAGTCTCCAGCGCAACTCATTGCTGCCACTACGCCATGACGGAGCCGTCAAGAATATTTATGAGCTGAAAGAAAATAGTAATGATTTATAAATTATATTTTTTATAGAATAAGGTTGAAAAACGAGCACACAGGCCACCTGGTGATAAGAGGATGCTGTGCCCCATAGACATCCACATTTATTGAATAAAACTATTATTTCCGGATTTTATCGCGTTTAATTACTATTTTAATTTATTTTTACTATCCCGCCCTTTCGGGTGCTTTAGAGCACCCATGGTCATAGTTAGTCCAGCTACTTTCAGTTTTTGAATATTAATTTTTGGTCCGATTTACTCAAAACGAGTTTATAGTATCATGCAGTCTTGCAGTGGTATGCTTTGGTTTGGTTTTCCCGGAAGTCTGCAGTCTGCGAACGTGTTCGAGATCGTCCCCACCTTTACATTAGATGATAAACCACAAATCCTCGCAAAAGAACACCGATTCCGAATCGGTATTCTTTCACAGACTGCAGACTTCCGGGAAACTCAGACCTAAGCATACCACTGCAAGACTGATGATACTAGTTTTGGCGTAAACCGGACCAAAAATTAATATTCAAAAACGTAGGTAGCTGGACTAACTATGACATTGGAACGTCAAACATCTCAGTCGCCCCCCCCCCCCCATGAGCATGGGTACTGTAAAGCACCCGAAACGTCGGGATAATAAAAATAAATTAAAATAGTATATTAAACGTATTAGTACGTAGTGTACTAAAAATAGTATATTAAAATAAGAGTTTTATTCAATGTATAGTGATCGCGTAAATTTAAGAAATCATTGTCTACATACATCATCGATTAAGAAACGAATTGCAGATGCGCGACACCTGAGAACTAAGATCGAATGCCTCGTTTCCAGAAAAGGGGGGTTCCGTTTCCCTACACTCACCATACGAAACACAGCAGCTGGTATTCTGGGAGACCGTGGTCTTTACCCGGTCGAGCTGACCATATCATGCTACTGCTAATATAGCTCCAACGAAGCTCCACCACTTAAAGTACCCGTTAATGAAATTAATAAACTTAATTAAATATAAAATATATTTAATGAAATCTTATAAAGGCCTTGTAAGAGCCAACATCCGGGTCCATCATTAATAGGTACCTTTAAAATAATTTAATAATTTATAATTTTTGTAAAATATAACACTTTTTATTTTTATCAAAGTTACTTAAGCATGTCAGATTTTAACTCAATTTGAAGTCAGTAAGTGTTTTAAAAAGTTGATTACAAATGTTGAACCGGAAAGACATAATAAGACAAAAGCAAGTTAAATTAAATAAAAGCTTGTAGAATTATGTAGAAAATAATTTAAAGAAAACATTTTTCAAATTCAAACAATGTAAATGGTTACACAAAGATAATTGACTAATGAAATTCGAAAGCGTAACCAGCGTAAATAAACATAAACATAATCACGTGCGTGTTGCATTTGATCAACAATTTGTGACACGTCAGTGATGATTACGTTGACATTATCTGTGATGTTTTATGTCCTATATCGGCTGCTGAAATATAATAATGTTAAAGTTTATCACTTTACGTATTTATTATAGAGACAATGTAGTTCTTTTAGAATTAGTGGTATATTTAGTATTTGCAAAAGAAATCAATTTAAAATATTTAACTCTCTTTGAAGGAAAGATGACTTAATCCTTACGTTATAGAATCATGCTTCAGTGTATTATGATTAAAGCATAAATGGCTTGGCTTGATCAAAGAATGAAAAAAACTCAGAAAAAGCAGCGATAAAAGTAAACAGTTACTGTTATGCTATGCTACTATCATAATTCTCTATCACCTATAGTGAGAAACAAAATCTGGAAACCATTTTACTGACATAGGGACATTCTATCTTGTAGTTGTTAAGGGTTATTTGGTTTCTATCCATCTAAATTCTACATTTTTGTTCGTAATTGAGGAGAAATTTAAGGGAGAGTGGATTTATTACGAATACTTTAAGGAGAAGCGATTAAAAAGATTATTAAATAAATTTACAGTTTAATACTAAAGTTTTGCTGAAATTATTAGCCAAGAATTATCACTCAATTTAATTCTAAATTTTTTTATTGGATCAACTTTTAACAAATATTTTCAACTTTTATACTAATTTAGAGTCACGCTGAAGCTATCTTGTGGTTTGTAACACGAAATGAATTTGCTCGACTGGGGTAGGCAATGCTCTCACAAAATACCAGCGTAAAATAACAGCTTAACTCTGCTGTGTTTCGTATGGTGAGTGTAGGGAAACGAACACCCTTTTCACTGAAAACGAGGTAAACTGTGTTCTCGTTTGTCACACTAAATCATTAAAAAATACCTTGATGTCCGGCATCACTCGCGGCGTATATTACGAACAGTGTATCGAGTAATCACAAACAAAGTTTAGTCGTAAAGTCACAAATGAATCTACAGAACCTAGAGTGCTTTCACAACTTGATCATTTTTTGTGGAGTCGTGAGCAACGATAATAACATTTCTCATTCAGTCTTTATTAGAAGTATCTTTATACATTTCAGCGCAAAGTAGACAATAGTACTTACTTTGAGGCTCATTTTTGATAACTTTCTTTCCTTTTGACACATTATAACATCTTGTATCATTTCATCCTCTGCAAATCTTTAAAACTCTTCTTATTGTATTTATTGTTACTGTCAGTATTTTGTTTAGTTTGAATCGCATGTATTAAAAATGTCGTTCGATAATTTTTTAATTCAGAAAAATGACTGCGATTTTCCGTTTTATAAGATAAATTCTCAAACAAAATTCGGTTAAACTTACCTTTTACAACAATCATTTCCTCACACTGCTTTCTGTTTGGCACAAGTTTCGGGTTCGATTATGAATTACTTCATACAAAATTTCTCCTTTAAATACCTTTTTTAAGTATAACTTAACAAGCGCGTCTGCCATCATACAGTGTGTGATTCACATAGTTTCTCTTCGATATGGTCCACGGCATCTACTTACAATAAGGTGGGCTGCGAGAATGTTTATCACACCATTGAATTAGTTCTCCTTTGTCGGTTTTAAATTAAACGTAAAAAAGATTGATAAATTGCAATCAGGTTATTACGACTCCCACAGGGTGAAATAGGGAGTTGGAATTTCTTAAATCGCTACCACATGGTTATTTAGGTGTTCTTTTTATGTCAGATTATATGTATGTGTTTATATGTACTATTAGCAAATTCAATAAAAATTTTAAATAAATAAATAATTAAAACGAAAAAAAAATAGAAAAAAAAAACCAAAATAAAAAAGGAAAAAAGAAACTATTACAATTATTTAATTCTGGTGATAAGTTAGGAATACTTATAAGATTCTCAAACTATCTGTGTTTAATTATGTCTGGTCGTATAGTGATAAATTCATAGAATCTCTCACTCCATTTCGTCTCATGGGTGTCATTAATATTCAACTCTGAGATCGATGGCTGTATAACCATCTCGTTCTTGTCAGACATAAATTACCCAAACTTGCAGAGAGCAGCATTGTAGATGCAAGACGTCTAGTACTGCGGATGTCATTATATCTACCGAGCGAGACAATGAGGGTTAATCCAAGTGGATTCTCGTAATAGAACCAAGCTGCATGTATATTATGGTTGGCTCGACCGGCGAAGGACCATGCTTTAAAAAGAATACTACCATAAAATATCAGCTTGCATTAAGGTGTTTGCTACGTTTCGTATAGTGAAGACAAGGTGCATCCCATCTTAGTTTTCAGGAGTGATAATGCATTTTCATTTTGATTATTAATCAAAGACAGAAATTAAAAAAAACACTATGTACGGAGGTTCATATTAAGCAGCGTCTTTTAACAGGCCGATAAAAAAAGAGTTATATAATAGTAGTAACTTATATCTGTAATACAACAGACTCAAATTATTATAAATTTTGACCGTCTATAATTGTTAAGAATACCATGAATACGCAATTACCCGCTGCTTCGTTTATGTACCTACCTATTATGTTGAATCAGCCTCTACCAATGGCCTGATCTACCATAAAAGATCACACCAAATAATTCCTTAATATTAAATATCCCGACCGTGTGTTGTTCCTACACCACTGGACTACCTGAGTTACATTTAACTTAATCAATGTGTAGTGTTCGCGTAAATATAAGAAATCATTATCTAAACCAGTACGAACTTGAAATAGCAAATACAATACGCCGATTAGAAGATCTAAAATCCAAATGCGCAAGATACATAACAGCTTTAAATTTCTTGAACAGATGCAGAGATCATAATCTCATTCCTACGTGTGTCAAGATATCCACTAAAAAGACATTCGAGGAAGCGCTAAGATCTTAAATCAGGCTAGTAAAAAGTTGTTAATAACGGTGATTCAGAAAAAACGTAACGATCCATGTTTCATAAAGAAAACCATAGACAATTCGTCCAGTGAATTAAAGACAGTTTTATCGACATTTGATTATAAGAAATGCATGGAAACTTTATATAAACGCAAACAATAATCAGAAAGCACCCGAAACGTTGGGAATTAAAAATAATTAAAATTAAACGCGATAAAATCCATAAACGTAGTTTTAATCAATGTATAGTATTCAAGTAAATATAAAAAAACTCTTAACTCTGTTAATACATAATTTACAATGTATTAAATTGAGTTGATGAACTTAACTAATTATTTAAGTAACTATTTTGTCAATTTCATTAAGTAATATTATTAATGGATGCGAGCGCGACAATCCTTTAGATTATGACGCAGGTAAGAAACTTTTTTACGTCATTACACCGTTTAGAAGCGACATAAAAGAATCAACTACGTGTTATCATCTTATGCATGTCTTAAAAAGTGGCTGAGAGAAATAAAACAAGAGCTGGTCATCAGCGTCTTCTTAATAAAAACTCAAACTATTAAAAGAAATGCAACAGAGTATATTGCACCATGTAAAAATAATAAAAATAGGTATTTATGATAGCTTTTGCAAAGAAAAAAACGAGATTTGTTGATTCCTATACATTAAAATGCATTATTAACTTTATAATTCAATTCGAAGAATTTTTTAATCCGTGCCTCAAATGTCCAAAACGCTAAGCGTATATTCGATTGCGCAGTGACGCTTCTTCGATAGTAAACAAGCTAATGTGATGTGTGTTATTTCAAATATTTCAATTTATAATCACTATTGTTTACTTTTATTTTGTATTTCATTGAAATAGCATCATTAAAGACGGATATGTAAAAGTAGAAAAAACGAAACTACCAAGAATAAATACATTACTGGTGGCAAAATTTTTTGCGAGCAATCCCGATTTTTGTTTTGCCAAATTGAGGAAAAACACAATACCAGGTAATAATGTATTTTGATAACACACACATATTATATTTACAATAACATCACATCTAATCTATTACATTTAGCTTGCAATACGTATAACCTCATGATGTTTTGTTTTGTACAAAACATTGTCAAATGTAAGTCATACTTACATCAAAGTGTTCTTTGCAGAAGCATAGTCAAGCTTGGTCTGTTATAGCCAGTCTTAACCAAGTATTCCTAATATTTAAATCAGTTGACACTTAAATCCATAACTTCTTTCTTATGCTCGTACTTTTGCCTTCAGGCATAGCACACTAGTGAATAAGATAACAACTTATTAATAAACATCCGAAATTAACTTATTTATTGGCAAATCGTTTTACTTATCAGATAGTGGCAGTGACGTCACGAGAGCAAAATAGACACAAGAGAGAAATATCCTATTAACACGGTAATATAATGCGCCTGAAATATCACGCCGTCAGTACAGAGTCCTCAAAGCATTTAATTATCGTCATAAGCTTAATTTAAAATGGAAGATAAAACCACGCTGCGTTACACGGGGGATTTTATCGTGAAGTAATTTATTTAAATATCCCCACGTCTTGAAGAACATGCATAGCCTTCGTTCACTAACTGAGATATACGAACGTACACACGTACTCGTATTTTCGGTTACATCGAATAAAAAGTGAAGCCTAATTACGTCTCACAGGCACAACCCTCTTTAAATTTTTGGAGAAAGTAGTGTATGGCTGTGTTGCCCTAATAGACGTTGACGGACTTCATAATTAAGATATTTTGATTTGTTTTCTCACTACGTTTTCCTTCACCGGCGAGCACATGACATATCAAACCATCAGCTCCTACTCTAGCTCTTCGGATCCTCACGGCAGTTTTGGGAATATAAAATTAAAGAAAACAAGAAGTAAACTTATTCCTCTGGCACGAGACCGGGTGATATTACTTGTCTCTCTTTGAAATGAAGCAAAATTTTGAAGTGGGCTGCTTCATGCATAATCACTACGCAGCTTCTTATGATTCTCTGAGAGATTATTTTAAACTTTAGATATTTGTTGTAAAGGCTATTGGTAGGTTGAGTCCACGCGCAGTTAAACGCTTCTAAACTTTTAAATCTGTCAAAATTAATTTCTTATGTTTGATTACTTTTTATATAGAATAGGGGTAGCAATCAAACACACAGTCGACCTGATAGTAAGTGGATGCTGTGGCCCATTGACATCTACATTTATCCTCGATTAAGAATCAAAACGTAGATGCGTTGTCACCCCTTAGGACTAAAATGCAATACCTCATTTCCACTAAAAAAGGGTCTCCGGATCTCTACACTCACCATACGAAACAGAGTAGTATTAAGCTGCTATTTTACGCTGGTATTCTGTGAGAGCGTGGTCCTTCCCTGATCGAGCCAACCAATTCGTGCTACAACCATAATAAAGCTGCAGCGTGGCCCTACCACGTAACTATCGTAAACAACACCAATGTATACATTTTTGATCTTGTAAAGATTTTTAAATTTTAGTTTTTTGATTTTAGTAATATTATCGTTAAAATTAAATAAAAATATCAGTTTAATTTATAAAGGAACTGTGATTACAAATTAAATAATTTCACTTAATCAAATAGTTACTAATTAAATAATCAAATAGGTTCATCTGTAGATATGTAAACTTGCCTCGTTAGTGTAGTTATATTAAGTTCGACTGCTAAGCAATTCTGCGCTCTCCTAAGACGTGCTCGTTCCGAGCATTATCGGCCCCATAATAACGCGCCAATCGATCCACATGGACGGTCGTAAGAGTACCTCTTGCACCTTTCTGAAACGGCCCTGCAACATCAATTGCTACCCTCTCCCGTGGTGTACCAACATTGTACAATTTCAATGACCCTCTACTACCCCTTCACAGCTGCACAACTTGTACATTTGCGACACCGATCCTCGACATCGTCACGACAGTGGACCCAGTAAAACCTTTCTTGGATCTTCAGTAGAGTTCGTTTAATTCCCAGATGGACTTCTGAACAACCATTATGGTACAGCTGTAGAACAACACGTATTTTAGCTTTAGGGATAACCATTTGCAAATGGCAGCTGTCTCGTCGACCATTTTATCATTTACGGCACAGTACTCCATCCTGAATCTACAAGCTGTCCCATTGGGTCCAATAGCTGTTCGTGGTAGAACTCATCGCTGAGACGTCACTCAACTTGGGCTTGAGAGCACTGGCCTTCATCCATTTTTAAAATTCTTGAAGCATTTGGAATTAACGATACCCACCTTTCACT